TCCTTGCCCTTGGTTATTTGCCCCAGACGATCGGACATTGCGATGAAATGTCATCTAGTAAGGATATTTTTCTCGGCGCCGCTCCCGATCTGCCTTTAGAAAGGAGGTGAGAGTGAGTCTCCAGGACTTGACCCAAAGGTCTGATTTATCTGGAAATCACTGACCTTCTGAAGATCTGAGGACAGCTTTGGGCTCTGTCCCTAGGAAAAACACCTTACCTCTTACAGACACTTGCCCCAGGTGGCCCATGGGCCCCCACCCTGACCAGTCAGCTGCTCTGTGTGCACTTGCTGGAGCCTACTTCCATGATTGTATGGAAATGCACACTTGAACACACTCGGTCCTCTGAGCAAGTACAGCTCTCCCAAATGGAAAAGTACACGCTCCGGCCTGGTGGTATGTCCATCTAACATCACAAGCAAGACAGACAGATCAAACCAGGGAGGCGCACAGCCCAGCTATGCCTTGCGTCACAAGGATGAGGAAACCAAAGGAAGGCCACCAAAGTCGGTCAGTTGTCAGGAACATTTGGGAACCTGCTCTTTTCAAACAAAGAACCGGCACTCAGGCAGAGGGCATCTGCCCGGGCCACAGAAGCAAGTTCACAGGGCGATGTGTGGAAAACAGGGTGAGCACCACCCAGTACAGACGAGGGAGACCCCTGTCCCCCAACCTCTCCACCAGCACCTTCAGGTCTGTTGGCCCTTCCCCCCTGCACTCACCTACACACTCTATCCTTCCAAATGCTAAGGCCAGCTATTGCAGCCGGCAGACCGGCACCAGGCCAAGACTGAGGACACAGCTACCTTTTCCTCTACACCCACCCTTGACTGGAGGTGCCAAAATTGATCAGAGGGGGAAAATACCTGTGTAAAGAGTGTGACCTTCTACCCTGTCATTAAGATACGGAGAAGAAATCGACAGTGTTCATGGAGGCACCTGACCATGTGTCCTTACCAACAGGGGCATGTGCAGAACACCCACTGACAGCGCAGGCACCAGGTGGCCACCTCTTGGAATGCACCCCTCAATATTCTGTCCTAAAGCCACGTGGGCTAGGAGAGGTGCATCGTGTTTAGGCAGTGCTTTGCACCCCAACGTATGATGCTTGAGAGAAAAGTCCACACACAACTGCAGACACAGCACCAGGAGCAAAGATCAGTCACAAGCTGGGCCCAGAGAAGGCGAGACAGAGGGGCCAGCGCCTCCCACCTCTGCAGAATCTGCCCTGCACACACCGGGTTTGCACATCCTCTTTTTCACTCAGCCAGTACTGACGATGCCGAGGCCCTGCCAGGCACCAAGGGACAGATAACAAGCAGTTCATCTCAGGATGCTCAGGGACAGGCAGTGGCCTCTAGTCACAGCGCGCATCAATGCTGCAGCCCTCCTTCAGGGACAGCAGGCCCTCCTCCCCTCATGGTTTTGGTCAGCCTTCCCATACTCAAATCCAGGCCACTCAGGGTGACCAAGGGGAGAGGCCGAGGGTCAGGGAATGACAGGTGTTTCCAAGTGTGTGGGAGCGCAGTGGAGGGGATTCTGCTCGCACTTGTGTCCAAACCTAGAGGTGCCAAAGATGCTACGGCATGGTCAGGGGACAAGCACTCCCCATACCAAAGCTGCAGGCAGTGGGTAGGGACCAGCCAGCTGCAGGAGGGGAATGGCCAGAAGCAGGGGTAGGGTGGAGGAGCACGCACCCCTACCTTTAACTCTCCCTTCCCACTGCCGGCTGAGTCTCTAATCCATCCTGCAGAAGTCCTAACCACCAGCTAAGCATGCGGCCACACCTGCGACCCCAGCCACTTGGGAGACTAAGGCAAGTGCAAGGCCAGCCTGGGCAACATAATCGGACCTTGTCCCAAAATAGAAATAAAAAGAGTACCATGAGCGAGGCCCTGGGCTCATTCCCCAGCACTGCAATCAATCAATCAATCAAAACCCTAACCTCCCCCAGGATGGACCACAGCCCTGGAGGAGAGGCTGGGTCTGCACTGGTGAGAGAGCCCAGCGCTCTACAGGCTCTTGGTGCAGATCACCTTGCATTTCTCCACTAAGAGGGATGAGGTCCACAGGGAAACGCAAATCAAAACCCAGAGACCACCTCACCCTTGAAATAAGGGTTATCATCAAAAAGACAGAAAATAAGCAGGGTGCAGGTACAGGCTCAGTCCAGTCCCCATGACCACCACCACCAAAGGAAAACAACAACACGTAACCAATGCCAGCGAGGGTAGAACGGGGCGGCTCGGCAGGACGCTGGCCAGGCCCTACTCCATGGATGGGACAGGGACACACCAGGACTAACAATGACTCGCTCCAAAACTCGCAAGAGGCCAAAGAGATCTGTAAGGAGTGTTACAGTTCCCCCATGCAGATGCTGATGTCCTCGCTCCCACAAGCTGGGATTGTCACTTTCATATGGCAAAAGGCTTTGCAGGTGTGGCTCAGGTCTTGGGTGGGAGATCACCCTGGATTAGTGGAGGGAGCCCAGTGGAGTCACAGGGGTCCCTGTGAGCAGAAGTAGGTCAGGGTAGCACACTGGGAACAGAGGCTGGAGCCATGCTCTCTGAAGTCACAGGAGGGACCTCAAGGAAAAGAGCGCAGGCCTCTGGAGGCTGTGAAGAGCAGGAAGGGACTCTCCAAGCCTCTGGGAGCAGCAGCCTCCAGCATCTTGATTTCAGTCCCATAAGACTCATTTCAGATTTCTAAGCTTCGTGTTGTTCCAAGCCACTAAATTGTGGCAGTTTGTTGTAGCAATAGGAATGATACACTCCCTAACACTACTGTGTGCCCTACAGGAAGCTGGGCCTGGGACACAACCCAGACCTGCATCCAGCCCAGAGACACTGGGAAACCCTCCACAGGCTGGTCACAGCCAAGAGGCGTGTTCCAGAGTCTCACACTTCAGCACCAGGACCAGGGCTGATCCCCGCCCTGGCTGCCACCTGGGCACAGATCACAAATGCTCTGAAAAACAGCCAGCCAAGTCCCTGCCCTGACCCCATGCCCCCTCCCTGCCACACAGGGGGCAGGACTAGATCTGTCACTGTGAACGCAAATTTGGATGCTTCAAATGCTCTTCCAACCAGCCGCACCCCAGCCCTCCAGTCGCATCAACCTGCCTGACTTCTTTAACAGAATGTCACGATTCTCAAACTAGAGCAGGAAACACTTTTGTTTCTGTAAATATTTCTAAAAAGTCTTCTTAATGCTTGTTAATCCTGGTTTCTGTCAATCCACTGATGCCAACAGATCTTTCTTTGACTCTGCACTAACCAGGCCTGTAAACAGACGTTAGAATGAACACAGAGCTCTCTCGAGGCATCCACTCTGAGGACCACCCACTCCCGCCCCAGAGAACTCTCAGAGAACTGCAACCTGACCCTGCCCCACCCCAGCACCCCAGAAACATTAAAGCTCTGGGCAAAGATGAGCGCCCCCTAGGAATCTAGACTGTGTCTGAGAAAAGGAGGATCAGTTTGCAAGGCCATTTGAACTATGTCCCCAAGTAAGTTCAGCCACCAACACTAACCAGGCACCCATCTCCTTCCAGGTAAAGGGTTCTCCAGCCCCCTGACCACAGAACTGCAGGACAACCGTGTGGAGAACTCACAGCCAACGCAGGCACCAAGCCCGCAGCACTGTTCTGAAGTGCCAACCCTTACCCAAGGCTTGTACCTGTGGGCCCCTGTCAGCCTCTCCAGACCTGTTTCCTCACTGATGAAGGACAGGCCTGGCCAGGAACTCTTTAAGCACCAGTCTGTCCTAGAACCAAACACTGCATGTTAATGACCCACAGCCACAAGTGCCAAGGACTTGTTGTCACATTAGCCACCTCTTCTGGCACATCTGAGCCTGGACCCCATACTCCTATGTAGACTTGGGTGCTAACAAGCAGTCACCTGAGTCCCCACTGCCCCAGAAGGCACCAGGCCGCACGCAGCTAGACAGGAGGCTCTTCACCCCCACCCACAGCCTGAAGAGGAATCTGACGGGAGCGCGCAGGGCCTCTGAGCCCAGCGCAGGTACACCTGCACCTAACAAAGCAGGTCATACGCACCTCCTGGTTCTCCCACTAACCAAAGTTTCAGTGGACACAGCTCTGAAACAAAAACACACTTGTTGGGAAAGATGGTGAATGAGATGGGCATCATTACCCTAGGTCCATGTGTGACGGCACGAGTGATGCGACACTACATCGTGTACAACCATAGAAAAGTCAAGTTGTACTGCAGTTGTGTGCAATGAGTCAAAATGCATTCTGCTGTCATGTATACCTAATTAAAATAAATAAATA